AAATGGTCTAAACTACCTGGAGTGGGCTAAAAGTGTAAAACTATATGTAACAGCAAGGGGAAAAGCTGGTTACATAAATGGAAGGGTGAAAGAACCCAAGAGTGAGACAGCTGAACATGATAGGTGGGACCAAGAAAACAGTATGGTGATGTCTTGGCTCCTTGCAGCCAGGGAACCTGATGTGAAAAACTTTAAGTGAGCAAACACCGCTAGTGAGATTTGGGAATAGGCCAAAACCACCTATTCTGAACAAATGCATTATGCCAAGGTTTACCAATTGCAAGCTGAATCCTGAACCTGTAAACAGGGAAATCGTAGTTTGTCTACCTATTATTCAGCCCTTACTTCCATATGGAAAGAATTKGATCATTATCAGGCTATAGAGTGGAAACATGATGATGATGCTAAGGCCTACAGGAAGCTGGTTTCTCAGCAGCGTGTGTTTGCCTTCTTGTTGGGACTGAACCCTGTCTATGAACCCTTGAGAGTTCAGATCTTAGGAAGTAAAGAGTTGCCGTTGGTTCACGAGGTATATGCCCTTGTTCAATCTAAAGAAAGTAGGCAGAGTGTGATGGTTACAACCGAGGGGGGAGCAACAAGTTTCATTGGCTGCAATGAGTAATAACAACATGGGGAAGAAAAGTGACACCAAGAAGGCTGATGATAAAGACAAGTTGTTTTGTACTCACTGTCGGCGCTCACGACATACACGTGACACATGTTGGGACATTCACGGGAAACCCAAGTGGGCAGTGAAGCCAAGAACAGGGTAAAGGGCAAGGTCAGAAGAAGACGAACACAGCTCATAATGCAGCACATGTGGAAACCCAAGATACTCAGGTTGCTGGTACTACCCGGGACCACCTTACTAATTCTGACCCCAAGGAAGATATCATGAATTCCTTCAAAGACCACTTGGAGTCATATGGTAGGGCTTTGCAACAGATGAATAGTTCAGTCACTAGTACTCCTACTTCATTTGCATCTACATCAGGTAATGTGGCTTCTGCATTCCATGTCAGTACTACCACTGGTTCCCCTTGGATCATTGACTCAGGGGCCTCTAACCACATGACCGGTAAGCCGAACTTGTTTCAGACTTATAGCCTTTTTTCAGGAAGGGATAAAGTGAGACTTGCAGATGGATCATTCTCCTCCATTGCAGGCCAAGGATCAATATCTCTTCCCCATGGCCTTAACCTGAATTGTGTATTGCATGTCCCTCAATTTCCTATAAATTTGCTTTCAATCAATAGTATCACAAACTCTTTAAACTGTAATGTAACCTTTTTTCCTGGTTCATGTGTTTTTCAGGATCTAACTTTTGGAAGGACGATTGGTAGAGGGAGCCCAGTGGATGGTCTCTACATTCTCGACAACAAAATTGGTCTCTCGGTGTCATCCTCAGATTCATATAGTTAATCAAATAAGAGTCAAATTTTTTGTGCCATAGTCGGTTAGGTCATGTTTCTTTTGAAATAGTAAAGTCTTCATTTCCAGTTTTATTTAAGTCATGTTCAGTGTCAGAGTTCTAGTGTCAAACGTGTTAGTTGAGCAAACAATGTAGAACAACTTTTCACACAAATAATAAAAGATCAAGTGTTCCTTTTCATGTTGTGTATTCTGATGTATGGGGGCCTACTACTATAATCTCTGAGGGCGGATATAAGTACTTGATCACATTGATCGATGACTTCTCTCGCTATACATAGGTATTCCCTATGCGTAGTAGAGACGAAGTTCCAAAGATTGTGAAAGACTTCCAGAGGTTGGCATTTACGCAATTCCATGTTGAAATACAGATCTTTCAATCAGACAATGCAAAAGAATATTTTCATGGTGAACTCAATGAGATCTTTGCCTCCCACGGATCTATTCATAGGAGCTCATGCACAAGAACACCACAACAAAATGGTGTTGCAGAAAGAAAAAACAGACACCTCCTTGAGGTAGCTCGCGGGATGATGTTACACATGAATGTTCCAAAAA